ACATTTGAAATTTGTTCTGAAAATTATGCTTATATGTTCTATGACAGCTGTCATGGAGGTTGGGATCAATTATGAATGTTCTGTTTCCATGAATTTTCCTCACTTCCGATGCCCAGACACAATAATTACAAGACCTGAATGCTGAAAGTGAAAAAAGTAATCACACTGATGACTTGTCAAAACATACTGTAACTTCTCGCCCAAATGTTCAGCAAATTATGGCAGTATTGCAAAGACACATTGGGCCAGCAGATTGTCTGGTATCAGCCACACCTGGGTGTATTTCATCAATGCTTGACTTTTAAGAAATGTAGAAAGGCCTTCTCTCTTTCTCTGGAACCTGCCTAAAGAAAATCTCAGCACTACTCATTAGTCTAACTTGTAGCCTGAAATAAGTACACTCCACTGACAGTTTGTGATATGCAGCAGTAGTAGCTCTTCACTGGAGACAAGGGAGGCCATCCTCCTCTGTCTCCATTTATGAATCATTACTGTAACATATCCCATTAGTACACTCTAGTGAAGTAGGATGTGATGTTTGACTTTTTCTGAAGGAAGGTGTCATAACATTGAATGTTTTTCAGGGTTTGCATGTAGTATATTTGGTGTAGGATGCCCTTATAAAAGAAATAATGTACCTCTGAGTGACTGTCAAATCAATTGTCAGTGCAGCAGATGCATCACAACATGGTCTTCAAAAAACAGACCATCTGGAAGTATTCTCAATCCCCAGTGAAAATCACATTTGTGGTTGACTCATTCTGAACTTACTGCCTTACATAGTGGTTCTTGGCATGTCTTTATATAGGAGCTACTAATTTACTCTATTTTAGTGTCCACAGTGCGTGTGCTATCTGTAAGGAAATGCAAGATGATACAAGAGGAACAATTGTTATGCAAGGTGTCCCATAAGTCACTATACCATGTCAAAAATTCACATCTAAAGAGTTGGCACAAAAAATAAGTTCCATTAACTGAATGATAGTGTGTCATTTGGAATCATCTCTGTCAAAAATGGAGGTATTTCTGAAGTTTGAAAGTGCCTCAAAATGCCCTGTTTCTTTGGTCCATCTTGATATAGAGTAAAAAACATGAAGTTTAATAATTTTTGTTAAAGAGGATTCAATAAGGTGTACCATTAATTACCCTAAAGATTTACACCTTTTTAATGTTTTTTAAAGCAATTTCTGATTGAGTCTGATTCCAAGTCCTTATAAAAAAAAAATATTACAAATGTTCTTTTCATCATTGTTAAAAAATCTGACCTGGTTGTTGCAGTTTAGAAAATATTACAGTTTGAAATGGTATAGTGACTTGTGGGACACCTTGTATTACATAGTGTAATGCAGCAAGAGGCCTACTCACTTTCATACATCAACTCTTGGCACCCATACAACAGAAGGGAAAGGATAGTAAGGTTTATTAAGATTACAGACCTGAAGAGGTTCCATCCTGAAAGAAAGAGAGGAACATCACCTGCTTGTACACAGTGCTTTAAAAAAAAAAAACTGTGCCAATTCATTTTCACTGTTAACGACATAAAATTTTATCATATCGACTTAATTTTTTCAACACTACTTGTAGACAGAGGAAAGAAGGTATGTGCCAAATTTTAAGAAAAATGACGCATTGTACTATGTTCTATGGTAGTTCAAACTTGATATATAAAATTGTGTGACATACAAGACTGCTGATGCATTCATCTCAGCCATTGAAGCTAACCTCCTTAACTGTTCTGGATGGCATTTACAAACTTGCTTGCTGCACAGCTGAAGTGGATGCATCAGAAAGGGTGTCTGGTGCATTTTTGTAACCTTTAAATGTTTTAACACTTGATACATATTGTCAATATTGCTCAAAATTTCCAAAAACCTTATTTCATCTATCCACATGCACTTTGTGAAATATTTTGCCGATTGGATGATATTTACTATCATTCCTTTAAAATATGAATTGGCACAGTTCTTTTTGAACACTGTGTATATGGACAAACAAGAATAATGCCTGAGTTCACTGTCTCCTGGAGATCTGAGTTTTTTATTACAATTCTGTGCATTTGGACATGGAAGCTAAGAAATGTATAGCATTTTTGCAACTTCCTTTTCAAAAGACTCTGTGACTATTACTGTACCTTGCTTTTGTATCCTCATCTCTGGCTGAAGTTTCTAGTATTGATCAGAACTTTTACCATAAAGTACTTCTCAGAGACTTACATACCCCTCACTTGAATGGTTCTGCACTGCATTTCATCTTGCTGGCTTTGATTATTTTAGCAACTGAGACAGATGAAGACATATGTCTTTGATGGTGACCAGCCTAACTTCTTATTCTTCTGTTAAATATAGTTTCTGTCAATTTTTTTTCAATGTATGCTACTAAATGGCCTGCTGAAAGGCTATTGAAGTTCATGTGAAGGCTGTGATGAATTTTCTTACCTCTAAGGAGTCAGTCTCCAAGCCGGTCTTTCATATGTCAGTCTGACTCTATCCTTCAAGTTGCTGAAAGTTGTTTATCCTAAACGTGTCAGAGACTCTTCCAAGTCTATTTCGTATTCATTGTGTGGATGATGGCATTATTCCACTAGTGTGTTAGTTGATTTATCTGCTATGACGTATTAAAGTCCTTCTGAAACCTCAAGTTGCTGAAAGATCTGCTTGGAGATCCACTCCTTAGAAGTTCATCGCAACATTTGACTCGACATTTGTGGCCCATGCCCAAGTTGGCCTAATGAAGGATAGGGAAAACTTGGATGACAATGCTGTGACTGTTCAAATGCTCTGACTCCAAAGGATTAATACCTGTTCAGCAGACTCTTTGGAAGCACATAGAAAAATATTGAAAGAACCTTTTTTTCATAAACAAATATAGTGAAGTGTTGCCAGTCATCATGTCATGACATCTGTCTTCATAAGAAGAGTAAAAAAAGGTGTATTGCAAATGATGTTGGCTCAGACCTAGAACTTTTTGATCACCCATGGTACACATAGTCTTGAAGGATCAGGCAGGTCCCACTTCAAAATAGAGGGGTTTTTTTAATTACTTTTTGATCACCCCATGTGAAAATTCCATGTATGACAGGGTGTATGATTCTTTATGGTCTTGTATAATCATATATTTGCCATATAGCAACATATATATATTAATATATTAATAATTGTATTGTGCATGATATATTTTACCTGTATTGCAATATTAAGTGTGAAGGGCAAATGGCATCATGTGTGGTATGTGGTGAATATCCATAGACAAGTCTTATGGTTGCAAGTAAAACATAGCAAGAGGTCAATGGCATATTTTGGCTGAACAGTAGCAGAGTGGGGGCACCAAGCTATGTCCCAGGGATGCTGGGGGGGGGGCAGCCACACCCCCTGCCCCCTTCCAGGAAAATTTGCCTCTGCAACTAATTTTTAATGCAACCATTATATTTTACATGAAATATTAGCTGTTTAATTTACTAAAAGTTTGATTTTGAACCCCCCCCCCCCAGCTTAAAATCCTTATTGGAAACAGCTGCAATTTCCAGCTGGAGCCCTTTTGGAAATTCAGACCCATTCCAACTGGGTAGCAGCTGGAAAGTAAAGTCAGATCCAGATTGATCCTAATTGCATTACACTGGCAGAATGAAAATTTTTTGTTGGCTATTCTTGCTGGAGCAGAAGCAGCTGAATTTCAATTGTAAGTGCTGCTGCATTCCAACTGAAGGGTCCTCTGTATAAAATTCTAATGGTAAATTTCCAGTTGAAAAACAACCTGTATCTACCATTTTTTAGCTATATGCCAGCTGGAAATGGTCAGAATATACAACTTCTGTCCAGCTGGAAAATTCCAGTCAGGATTTCAAACTGGGCCCTACCCTCTCTAGGTAGCATAAGCATATCACAGATGAAAAAAGTGTGGAAAGAGCCCCCCTCCTCCCACACTTTTTTCTGAACAGGAACTCTGGGAACTGTTAACATGCATTTCATGCAACCTTTTTCTTGGTATTAATGTGTTTCATGTTGTTAAGTTAAGCACATGCCTTCCTGTGCCTTCATCGAACAAGTCCTTCATTTGATTATTTCAGGAAGAAATACAGTTTTCTCTCCCATCTATCTTTTGAGTTGTCAGTCAAAATGAAGAAGACACTCCTACTTGAATTAAGCCAAGTTTTGTCATGAAATAGCATTACTGATGAAAATACATGTAAAGGTTCAAGTCTATAATATTGAAACTTTCACTATTAACAAGGGTGCATATGTTGAATACCATGAAACATGAGTTCTTGGTGCAAGTGACTGTGGTCTATGTACAATTAAAAATTAGTTGATTGCAAGTAAGGTTGCATATGCATGGTCATACAGTATTTGATGAATCCCAATGAACTCTTTTTAGATACAGTCATGTTTCAGGTAATCTCACCATCTATAGGTATGACATGGCATATATGGACAATGTATGAGCCAATAAATTAAAATGTATTTGTTCATATATTTTCATTCTTATATGATTTTATGTTAGTGTCAAACTCCATGCATGTTTCACATATGTTCATATATGTTTTGCATTATATGGTCATGACTGGTTAAATATATGGCCATTTCATGTATGAAATTTTCACGTGGGACTCCTCATAGATTTACTAGGTAGTCTGATATCACCCTGCCCTTCAACCGATTTTCCCCTTTCTTCATTTTCTCTGAGTAAGCTGGAGTCATTTCTTCCTTTTCTCCCTTATGGTCTCCAGCTTATTCCTACAAAGTCCTCTACTTCCTCCTAATATTGGTGCTCTCTCCCCATCCTGCATTTTCTCATATACAAGGAACCTCCAGGCTTGTCTGCACTCTTGAGAGGATAAGACTCAGGGAAGTGAGAAATTGGTCTCTTCCTCTTGTGTGAACCATCTCTTTGGAAGACCGTCTAACCAGTGCTTGTAGGTAAGAGCCATCTATGTTATGGAGGCAGTTCAATATGCAGTTCACAATGCATCCATTCTAGTAAAATTTGATTCCTTAATTGGCAAGATACTTTGTGGAGTCCTCCTCGTGCCCATGGATGAGCAGAGGGGAAGAGTCCCCGAGTTACTACGCCAAATAGTAATAGCGGACCTCCTCTCGCCCCTTCACGCCCTCACCTCTGCCCGACACGAGTCCGCC